GTTCCCTGCAGACTTCCAAGCGATGCTGCTTCTGTTCATTTTGCAGCAGTCGTGGCACAAACTTCACCACAATCCTCCTCATGTTCAGTTCCTCTGACAAAATTCGTTGACATGTACCATAACTTAGTCCCAAGGTGTTACAGAGGTCTTGGATGGTCAGCCTACGATCTTGCAGAATCATATCCCTAACTTTCGCAACATTTCCTGGTGTGGTGCCAGTTGATGGCCATCCCAAATGATCATCATCATCAGTCGATGTTCGGCCATTTTTGAAATGCTTATACCAGTCGTAAATTTGTGTCTGGCCTAAACTATTGTCACCAAAAGCTTGCTTCAACATTTGGTGCATTTCTGGAGTGGTTTCCCCAAGTTTAAAACAGAACTTTATACAGACACGCTGCTCTCTCAGGTCAGCCATCGCAAAACCGCAAACTCATGGAAACAATGGAAATACATTTACCAAAAATAAACCCAACCACTCAACTTGACACCACTTGCCACACTGTTTCAAGAAGGGTGTGTGGGGAGACACCTAGCGGTATTTCGATGTACTCATAACCATTCGCGCGCAAAATTCAATTTTCAGGGACTTTTTGATAGAACCACGTATATTTGAATACTAGCTAGATGATTTATTTGCTTTCATGAGATTTCATTAATAACATTTATTCATTCAACACAATTAAAAAATCACTGCGTAACAGTATTGTGTTCATTTGTTTCTCACAGGAGGGAATGTTGCTGACGATAGCTCAGATCATGCAACACTTCCAAGACGTGATGTTATTAGGAGGCTTAGAGAAAGGGGCGAGCCAATCATGCTCTTTGGTGAGACAGAATTGGATGCTTTTAGGAGGTTGAGACGTAGTGAAATCCTTGAACCAGAAGTTAATAAGGTAATAACCCTTGTTAGACCAAGATACTGACAGTGGCAACAGTCAGTATCACGTTGAAGTTGCCTTATTTTAATAACTTTGTTTCTCATTGTGAGTATTTTAGAGCATTGTACAAGTGCCTGAACACCATGCTATTCATTCATCAGTAATCTGTCAGACAACAGGTCCACAGTCTCTTCCAAAACAGTTCCTCCACTTAATGCAATCTCAAGCTTTCTCCTTCAAAGAGTATTTGATCCTAAATGTGATAAAATAATGGGATATTGCTGACAGTTAAATTAAGAAGTTTTCATGGGTTATACTCTTCACAACTGCCTCTGTGCTCTGGTGGTCAGAGTTCCTGACCACAGATCCAGAGGTCTGGGTCTGATTCCCAGAGCTACCAGATTTTCTGAGAAGTAGTGGGTCTGAAACGGGGTTCACTCAGCCTTGTGAGGATCATTGAGGAGCTACTTGAATGGAAAAGCAGTGGCTCCAGTATAGAAAACCGAGATTACCAGCTATGGGGGATTTGTTGCGCTGACCACGCAACACCATCTATCTGCTAAAGATGGCACTAACTTTGCCGACAAGCAGTGGTCGCTCGGTTGCTATACTTCGCTTGCCATGGAGTTTGTTTGTCACTCATTAGTGGTAGGACCTTCACTCAATAATGAGATGAGTGAGATGTAATGCATTGTGGGAGAAAATGCATACACTATTGTGATTGGAAAAAGACATCTGCCTGTAGACTGGCAGTAATCTGGCTCCAAATTATAAACCTTCAATTTGTTCAATTAAATTAATAATTCTATGTGAACTCTGAACTGTGGCTCATCCTCTGTATTCATCTGATAGTATGCGCTAAAATATACAGTACTGAAATGAAAAGACATCCTGTTGGTACCACTGTCTATTCATGTGAAGGCCCCTTGCATGATATAACCTTCTCAAATCCTGAAGAAATGGTCCACTCACCATGACCCTGTAGTGTTCTTGGTTGATGGTAAGAGCATTGCCTTCCTCATCCACAATGAAATGGGGGCCTAATATACCATGTGCTGAGATGGCACACCATATCGTCACATGTGTACTATGTAGAGGTTTCTGGACGATAACATCTGGCGGCTCAAAACTAAGGAAGCGAGTTGTCTGGTGACCACTTCCGTATGAGCAGAAATAATACTAAACTATGAATACTTTTTCCTCTGTCAAGAAACCCATTTCCAACAACTACTGCACAACACAACTTCCTTTTCACTACTGGGAACATGTGCAGCTGGAGCTATGCCCCATCGATAAACACACATTCATGTTCGAAATGCGCGAGTTTCAGTACTGCAGATTTTGGCGCATACCATATTATGTGAAGACTACACATTATGGTGTTCATTACATTTTATTTTTTCATACTTCCTTACTTTCCCTTTCCTTGATCAAGATATTACATTTTTTCATGCATTTCATTAACTTATGACAGGGTCTTCGTAATGATTTCCAAGAAGCCTTGGAGAAAGTTGATCAGGCTTTTCTGGATGAGATTTTAGCTTCTCAAGTTCAGGATGCAGATGGTCGATCTTCGAATGATGTCAAAGTACAAGATGATGGCATTACATATGATGAAATTCAGAAAATGGCAGCAAACTTGGGGAAAGGAGATAGAGACCTTGATATGAATGTCATTACTCACTTTATCCAGGTAAAATATAGCTTTCACAGTTAAGTAATGGGACTGATTTTTTTTTTTTTGCAGCAATTGGAAACATGTTGATTTACGTTGGATTACATCATGACATGGGGACACGGTAGCATAGCTGGTTGAGGCACTATGCTACAAGCTGGAAGGTCGCGGGATCAAATCCCGATGAGGTTATTGGATTTTTTCAATTGACCTAATTCTTCCAGCCGCACTATGGCCCTGGGGTTGACTCAGCCTCTAACAGAAATGAGTACCAGAAATATTCTTGGTCAGTGCATAGGGCTGACAACAATGCCGCCATCTATGAGCCGATTGTCTAGAAAATGTGGGAACCTCAACATCTCACAACCCTATGGGCCTCCACGGTCTGTTACAGGGATACCTTTACTATTTTCTTTTGTTATGACATGACTCAGCACTTTTCAGTATACAAGATTGTGTAATTTAGTTTCATTTATGAGCATGGTGCTTTATTGCCAGTTAACTTTTTATCAAAACATGGATAAGAAAAGAACCTAAATATTAAATTTATAAGGAAATCAGCAAAAATTGCCACTGGCATAAAATATTACAGCTAGTTTATGTAGAAGGAAGACTGAACAAAAAGCAGATATTTGTTTAGATTAACTCAGCAGCACGGTGTGACACATATGTTATGTGGGAGCATTTAATTGCTCTGCTTGCTGTACGTCTGCTGTAAGCTTAATTTCTCTGGTCTGTAAATAAGGAGTGAATAATTCAAATGTGATGACGTTTGCACTGGCATGTTGTGATATGAATGAACTCTATTCATGCATCAGGAACGTTGTATTTCCTGCAGCAGAGCAGGTCAGTCTAAATATGAATATGTGACCTCACAGTGATGATGGCCAGCCCATCAACAGGTCATATGCTCACAGAGCCTGGACAAGTACATGTTTTCAATGGAGTTTCAGATGATGAAATTATTGGTGAATTAAATTCAGTTGATTATACTGTTCTTGACAGTGATTATACACAATCGGAGACTCCAAGAACCCGTGTGATTAATGATAATGAAAAATGATATTTCTTGGCATATATTCCTGCCATCAGAAAGGAAGCAAAACCTCAAAGAGAATGTGAGATGCACACAAAATGTGGGAAAATAGTATTTATTTCTGTAGTCAATATTAAGCAGGGTTGTGATTAGATGGATGTTTCAAAAGCTACCATGTAAACTGAAAATTCTAATCCAGTTGCGTCTATTGCTCATATACAGTCCACACATGTTATAAGGGAAGCTTATAAATCGGTCTTCTCAGAGGATTCCAGTGACAAAAGCCATCAGTATATCTCATATAGTTCAAGGGTTGTGAAAATAAATTATTTTAGAGCAGAAATTAAAACTAAACTATGTGGATTTAGTCCGCAAGCGAACTATACCAACCGAGCAACCACTGCTTGTTGGCGAAGTTAGTGCCAACCTTAGCGGATAGAGGGTATTGCGTGGTCAGCACAATGAATCCCCACAGCCGTTAATTTCTGTTTTCTAGACCGGGGCAGCTATTTCCTTCAAATATTCAGTTATCCTCACAAGGCTGAGTGGACCCCATTCCAGACCCACTACTTCTCAGAAAATCTGGTAGCACCAGCAATTGAATCTGGATCTCTGGGCAGGAACTCTGACCACTAGACTTCAGAGGCAGTCAGCAGAAATTAAATGGGCATTTAAAACTGTAGGCCACTCATAACTGCAGTATTTAAATTTGTCACAGGAACTGAACAGAAACTGAGTTTGATCAAAGGTGAAGAGAGGCAGCTGCTCATTGCGAATTCTTCCAAAGTAGATTGTAAAGGGCTCTGATGGCAGTGTAGCAACACTGAGAATTACTGTGTTTTCACTGTAATTTACACCCAGCTTCTTATAATGAGAGAAGTGAGGTGTTGTATGTTGAAAGTTATTTTTTTTTTTCTGTTTTCAAGATCATATAATTTGGGGGTGCGCTTTATAATTTGGCAAATACAGTATTTTTTTAAGAAGTGTCACATCAGATCAAACAAACAACATGTAGAGTTCATTTGGAGAGGTTCAGTCTCAAGAAATTAAATGACGTAGAGGGTAAAGAGCAGTATTGTGTTGCAATCTCAAATAGGTTCGCAGCTTTGGAAAACTTTCAAACTGAGGTGGATGTTAATAAAGCTTGGGAAACTATTAGAGAGAATATAAAAATGTGTGCCAAAGAGAGTCTAGGTTATTATGAACCAAAGAAGCATAAGCCATGGTTCGATGAAGGATGCTCAAAATTATTAGATCAAAGAAAGCAGGCCAAATTGCAATGGTTACAGGATCCAAGCGAGTTAAATGGGGATTATCTGAACAGTATAAGACGTGAAACCAGCAGGCATTTCAGGAACAAAAAGAGGGAATATCTGAAAGATAAAAGTGATGAGCTTGGAATGAACAGTAAGAACAAGAACATTAGAAACCTGTATAGAGGAATAAATGACTTTAAGAGGGGTTACCAACCTAGCAGTAACTTACTGAAGGATGAGAATGGTGATCTGCTTGCAGATTCCCACATTTTGAATATGTGGAGGAACTAATTCTCTTGTTATTGAATGTACATAGGGTCAGTGATGTGAGGCAGACAGAAATCCATACAGCTGAGCTGTTAATACCTGATCCTAGCCCTTTTGAGGTTGAAAGTACTATTGCAAAAGTGAAATGGTATAAATCGCCAGGTGGTGATCAAATTCTGCAGAACTTATTCGAGCAGGAGGCGAAATATTACATTCTAAGATCCACAATCTAATTAATTCTATTTGGCATAAGGAAAAATTTCCTGATCAGTGGAAGGAATTCTCTTATTGTACCAGTTCACAAGAAGTGTGATAGAAGTGACTGTAGTAATTATCGGGGGATATCACTGCAATCAACTTCATATAAAATTTTATCCAATATTNNNAACGTTTATTGTTTATCCAATATTCTTCTCTCAAGGTTAAGTCCATATATAGATGATATTATTAGGGATCATCAGTGGGGGTTTCGATGTAACAGATCAACTACAGCACAGATCTTTTGCATTCGTCAGATATTGGAGAAAAAATGGGAGTACGATGAGACAGTACATCAGCTATTCATAGACTTCAAGAAAGCCTATTATTATGTTAGGGAGTAAGTATTGTACAATGTTCTGATAGAGTTTGGGATACCCATGAAAATAGTCAGGCTGATTAAAATGTGTTTAAACGAAACGTATAGTACAGTCCGTATAGGCAAACATTTGTCCGATAAATTTCCTATCCAGAATGGTGTAAGACAAGGAGATGCTTTATCACCACTGCTTTCAACTTTGCTTTCAAATATG